GTAAATTAAATGCCGAATGGCGGTTCATGCAGGGGAGGAACATATAAATATTCGCATATTCATTCAAAAATATGAAAATTCTTAATGGAGTACCTTCATTTTTTATTGAATTCCTAAAAAACAATATTTATAATGAATTTTAATAATTTTTTCGAATTTTTTTTAAGCTTTATTCTGACCGATTCACCCGATTCCCGATCCGAATAGCCGATTCGCCTATCCGGATCGGTTTTTTGGAGTGGAGGGAAATAACTATCAAAATAACAAGTTCAACCCATAACAATAGAAAAATATCACAACACAACATACCATGATCAGGTGAACACAATCTTGGCATGAGAAGAAGCTTTAGGAAAGGAAGCCAACCGCTCCATCAGATTACATTCAGCCATTTCTTCTTTCTCTGGGCTAATCTTTATATTCAAGACTTCCAATGCCGAGGCATTTAACAGCAAGAGCTTCACCATTGCGATATCCTTGGCAAAATCCACAAAGGGTGACTCTATCTCCACTGTTTTAAGGCAGACCAACCATGCTCTTGATTTACTCCAGTACTCTTCAATACATCTATCTCCTTCTTCTTCGTCTGTGCCTTCAACAGGTTTCAACATGCTATAAATTTCTAGTATTAGTTCTGATGGATTAGCAACCTGCAAAAGTGAGAAGAAAGAAAAGAAAAGAAAGTTAAATCCACACATAAAGGTTAATAATACAATATTTGAAACATGAAAGCGCAGAGAAAGAATCATTACTCATAGTAAACCCGGTATTTTTGACAAAAATGTACCTTGATACGAAGAACCTCTAAGTAAGGGAAATTCTTTAGGAAGCTGACAAGTTCCAATGCTTCAGAGGTGGATAGTGTATCAAGAAATATGTCAAACTCCTTTAGATGAAAGTACATCCTAGAAAGTGTCTCAAACTCAAAATCTGGAATATCTTCATAAATTTCCTGCATATCATTGACTATATGAGAGGTCGAAAGCACAAATAAAATGGTAGTACCACAACATGAGACCAATAAAGAAAAACCATCAAGAACACTAAAGAAAAATCACTTAAAAGCAGTTCAGTAAATTAAAAAAAAAAAACGCTTACATCTGCACTCCAACCATACAAGCACAGAGATTTCAATCCGCATATGCCCTTAATAATCCAACTCAAATCGCTATTTGGAGCTTGAGTGTAATGCCAATCAATGGTGATTTTGATTATGTTGGTGCTACCTTGCAAATCAATCTCACTGAACTCACTTTGGAGATGGAAAGATAGGAGGTTTGGGGCATGAACCCTAATAACATCGAGTCGAGTGCAATGCACTACCTTCAGAGACTCCAAACTCTCACTTCTGGAAACCAATAACTCAAGAGATTTTTCTTTGATCCAAACGTCTTCTAGAGAGAGAAACTTAAGAGAGCTAAAACCTGGAAAATCAAGCGGGGGATCGAAAATACAGGAGCACAAATCCAGCGATACTAAGGAGTTGAATGAAAACAAAGATGAAGGCAATATGTATGGACAAATCCCACTCCTCAATCTTTTGGGTTCTTGGGTTCCTCTCTCTTTTTGGGCATTGATCCATTGATCCATGTTGAGGAGGCTACAATTATTCATGGATTCTTGCAATCTAAACCTTAGAATGTGCACATGTTTGTCGACTACGAGACCTCTATCACAGTTTTTCTCTCTCTTTCTCTGTCTTTGATAAAGTCCACAGCAGTTTAAATCAAGAATGGCATCAGAACAGAAGCGTGCCTTCATTGATGAGAGAGAACTGAAATCTTGTTCCATTGATGAGAGAGAATTGAAACCTAGTTTTAGAAGCTCTCTATGAACGTCTCTCCTATAATCCCTCTCTCCTTTCTCTACAACTCTGTTAGCCAATTGCACGTCAAAACTTAACCAAAAAAATAGGAAACAGAATATTTAGCCTTATCTCATTCAATTTAACCTTAATAATTCCTCTAGGAACCAATCCCAATGGAATGTAGAAGGATTAGGAAGAGGAAAGTTGCTAAGATTTAGGAAAACAAGAAAAAGGGCAAACGATTTTTTTAAACGCCAGGCTGGGTTTGTTTAAATTTGGTTAGTAAATAATCAAGAAACACTTTCTATATATTTATTGAAGGCATTGTGGAGATTAACATATCCTTTCTTATGGAAAACAAAGAACACGTACTCTTTAAATATAGAAAGTTTTGGGACTTTTAATCGCTCTTGAAATAAACTTCTCTTGAATTATGAATATCACAATGAATTTGTCGCATTTCTTTTGATATTTACATATGCAGAAAGTTTCCTATTACCGTGGATAGGTGTATATTATCTGTTTCCTCCCTCAAGCAAAACTCGTTCAAGGGACACTTTTTCAATCTCAAATTTTGGGATATAATCTCTACACCCATATACTAATCTCAGGTTAAAAATAAAAATAAAAAAAAAAGAAAAAAAAAAGAAGAAAAAAAAGAAAAAGATAAACTCTCTTCGTACTAGAAAACAATAATGCCTCAATAGAGAGGCTTCAATATTTGGAGGGCTAAATGTGTGCCTTAACTCAAAATAAATTTCTTCTTATGAAAATAACCTAGTAATTTTTATATGGTTTTCAAAATTTTAGACTATATAAAATCCTCTTAAATAGGTGACAGGTGTTTTGAGCGAGGGAGTAGCCCCGAGAGCATACTATACGTAAATGATCACTCGGTATCGTATTTATCTTAGATAATTATATTCTTGCTTTTTCAATATAAATACACTATTTACATTTGGTTATATATTCGTTGCTGTTTCAATATAAACACACTATTTACATTTGCTTTAGAGGGATCCTATTTTTTGGTCCCGGCTTAACTCTTCTTTTTTTTGGAAATATATTGAAATGCATATGAAATATTACATATTTAACTCAAATAGTTGGAAAGGATAAATTATTAAATTGTCAAAAAATTATATGTATTTTGATAAATTTCCCTTATTTAAATAAAATTCGCTTTGTCTTTATTTTTTTAATTAAGACACAATATACATATTAGACTCGATTTTTTTGGGTAATTCAGTGGGGATGACAAGTAATTCAGTGGGGATGACAAGCCCCTACCCTTTTTTCAAATTGTTAGTGGTTTTTGAATGAGTTAGGTGAGAATAAAAGCCCAGACCTTAGCTGAATCACAAGTGGTACTATCACCATGACCCAAACCCATTCTCCATTAGACTCGATTTCCAAAAAAAGCATTACCACTTCAAAAACTTGATACTGGAATTTCTCGAATTGAATACCTCTAGTCACCACGTTGTGGTTTCCATTCCGACCAGTAATACCTTCAAAAAGCTAACTCCTAATCTACTTGAAGAAATGCTTAGAGACCTGTCTTTCCCATTGGATTACCCAAAAAATTAGCACCCCATTTGCTTCCCTATATATGGATTCAAAAAATATCTAAATCCCCTCATATATATCAATTTTTTAACAGCTGCTTTCTCAACCTCCACCGGTTCCTTCTTGCACCACTTCACTACATTTAGGTTATCAAACGCCCTAAACAAAGTTGTTTATTCTAAATAATTCTAAATCCTTGCTCTCTTCTTTGCTTTTTTAGTAGATGTCTTACCGTTGGGCTCATATGTTCATATAAGCTAGTGGGCTGACCCCAGCTTTT